CCTTGCAGGATGTTCGACGTGGGAGGCCAGCGATCCGAGAGGAAGAAGTGGATCCATTGCTTCGAAGGCGTCACGGCCATTATCTTCTGCGTTGCGCTCAGCGCTTACGACTTGGTCCTGGCCGAGGATGAAGAGATGGTGAGGATGGCACGTTCAGCCTGCTGTGGCATGTTGATCTCCACCCAAGATGATTTCTCGCTCGTTGTTACAAGGCTTTGAACATGTCTTCTTATCATTGCGCAATCCATTTCTCTCTCCAACTAATTGAGTGTTCAAATCCAAAGTGGCTTGAACCGTTTGACCCCAATTATTTGAACAGGTTATGTGTTAAATGCTTCAACATGCCCCAATGCGAGTCCGTGCTTTTGAAATGTTGAACAACAGCTCCCTCTGGTGGCACACTGAAAAAAAAGAATGACTCCAGTAAACTTTTCTGCCAAGAGAGCAGAGAAATTTTGAGAAACTTGGCATGATTTCTTTTAAAAAGATATCAGCTAGCCACCTAGTTAAGCCCCCCCCCCAAAAAAAGCAGATACTGTACCTACACCTATAAAAGTTTAGCATAAAGATTAATGAAATCATAATCCATAATGCTATTGTGTCTAACATATTTCTTATGCCTACACATCCCAACATCCACTTTAAGGTTTCACATTGCAACAAGAACACTCGCCACCACCGAGCTCAGGCTTCCAGGCCTCCACTGAGCCATCGGACAGGCTGTGGGCTCCTAATCTTTACCATTCAAGGTGTAAGCATTGCTAGCTAGCTAGCTCGCTAACTGCACGTTGTCGTGGTAAAAAGGGTTCTAGTAATTCTAAGTAAATTACAATTGTACCAGATATCTTGGCACACACAGCATATTTTGCCTTGATTTCAGCTACTCCTGGCTCAGTTTTAGTTTTCACACTTCAACAAGGATGCTCAATGAAGAGCATTGACTCTTAGACTCTTATGGACTCTTAGAATCGCATGCACGAAAGCATGAAGTTGTTCGACTCCATCTGCAACAACAAGTGGTTCACCGAGACCTCCATAATCCTCTTCCTCAACAAGAAGGACCTCTTTGAGGAGAAGATCACCCGTAGCCCCCTTGCCATCTGCTTTCCAGAATACACAGGTATACACTCAACTCAACTCAACTGTATTTATAGAGCACTTTCAAACAGCCATCGCTGCATACAAAGTGCTGTACTTGGAGCAATTAACATATACAACATATACGCTGAACTAACATTTATTACCTGAAACCTTTAGCACTGTAATGTCTGAAAATGTGTCTTTTTTTCCACCAATGACCAAAATTCAGTTGCCCCACTCTAGTCCTGAGTGGCTCAATTCCAAATGGCAAACTCCCAAAACAAAAATGTTCCCCCATTTAAAATATTTAATTTAAATAAAACTAATGACCAACACTGGTTGATAATCTCTGGGGGAAAGAAATGTAGCTTCAACAGATAAACTCCCAAAAATGTTCTTGTTTTTGTTATTTTTTTCATCCTAGGGGCCAACAAGTTCGATGAAGCAGCCAGTTACATCCAGACCAAATTTGAAGACCTGAACAAAAAGAAGGACACCAAGGAGATATACACCCACTTCACGTGTGCCACCGACACAAAGAACGTGCAGTTTGTCTTTGACGCCGTCACTGACGTCATCATTAAGAATAACCTAAAGGACTGCGGGCTTTTCTGAAGGTGAGGTGCTTCATAATAATAATGCATTCAATGAATTGATTCCGACAATGATTCACAAATTTTGATGGACGCTGTTGTCATATCGTAAATATCAAATATGATGCCATTCACCACATTTATCAATGAAGCGATCAAATCCACCAAAATCGCGTGACACCACCTGCGCCACAACTTAGACCTGCTTTCTAAGGTTTCGTCTACTTTCTGTCAACACATTGAGAAGATCGGAATGAGTATGTAAAGGGTTCATTGTCAGTCAGCTAACGTGTTTTTTTTTTTGTTTGTTTTGTGGCAGGAGGTGCACACTGCGTGAGAGACTGCGTGCAACCATGTGACGATGACTGCTTTTCTTAATGAAAACTGCGACAGACGTAATCCCTACAAGAGTGGAAACCTTGAAAGGACTTTCAACAATTTGTGATTGGCTACCATCTCGCCCTCTGTGTAACGTTGGTCCTGCATACAAATGCATACAAAGTTGTCACACGCCTCCTCTCTCTTTTACTCTTTATAGTCCCCTGAATGAATGTTTGAGCACCCTCATTGGATGAGAGGAATTTAGCAGCCACTCGTGTGGAAAAATGAGTTGGCTTTCAGTGAATTGTTGGAACGCATGTAAAATGCACAAAGAATATTCCTCACCCAACAAGAAGATCTTGTGGTCATTTTGATTTAAGTTACTATTTTTCTTCACCCGTAACTTTATTAAGATGTTCATTTTCCCCTTAAGGTTGATTAAAAGACGGTACGAAACAATATTTTATATCACATCAACTCATGTTAACAACTGTTTCAACATGTGCAGAATGTGAATGGCGGTGTGGGGGGAAAAAAATCATTTTTCTACGCCATTTACAATTATCAATGTGATAATTATCACCGTATTCCCCTGCATGGCATTCCATTAATTAGCCTGTACCCACTCACACCCGTTACGTACCACTTGTTTGAATACACTCAACGCAATCTGTGAGGTTGTAAATTATGTCTGTTGATGATCTACTGTAGATTATTGTGTACTCTTTGTTTCACTCCGAGTCTCTCGTTTCGACTTTATGTTTGTGCCTTGATATCTGTTTACGCGTGTATCTTCACATTTGTTCTTCACACTGTTCAATTAGGGCTATTTCTACTCTGTACCCATAGCTTACGATGCATCCAAGCACAGAGTTTGAACGATGATGTAACGCATCTTGTTTGTTGGTATTTAAAGTACAAATCAAGTCATTTGGTTTATGTAAATATTAAAAGTTTGGTCCTGTGAGGTTTTATTCTTCTGTCCTTTTGTCCAAAAACATCATATTTTTAGCAACGCTAACGTGAGAATACAGCGAGGCACCGCATTTAGGATACAGTTTATGAGATTTCCATGTGTAATTGTTAAAAGAAAAACGTAACATTTTTCTAATTTTTGAAGAAGAAAAGGTCAATATATTCAATAGAATCGACTCCAAGTCCCATTTGTTTAGGACATTTAAAATGGACTGACGCTAATTCAAGGTTATGAAAATGAAAACAATTATTTAAAAGATTGTGCGGACGTACCTAATGTTTTGGCTAGTAAGCATGTTTTTTTATTTCTCTTTTAAAACGATTACTTTATTTGTATTGATTTATTTTGAGATTATTTATTTCAAACGCACGATCATTTGTGTCTTTGCCTAAAACACAATTTTAACAGCAACGAACAAGAATTGATTGATTTGAGAGCACTGCATGCAAATGTTTAGACGTGTGTGACGATGCCTATTTCTTGACATGAATGAGTTCATTTGCATCAGTCTCCGGTCTGAAACACTTAAGTGCTACCATTCCTCACTTGCAAACGAAATGATTAGGTGTCGCAAGGTGTCCCGTGATCAAATGGTTTGTATGCAATTCTAAACCGCCGGAGAAACCAAAGAATGCTAAATTTTCATCAAAAAGTCACGAGAAGAGGTGTGCAGAGTGTTTGTATTCAGGCACCATCAAAAGAAACCAATGCTTTCTGATAAATGATGTCTTGACGCGGCCGCCAGGTGGAGCCTTAGGCCGGGGGTGCACTGTCGTTCTCCAGTTGGTGCTCGACGACCACGTTTGATTTTTTAAAACGGACAGTTTGGGCCAGACCATTCATGGCTGAGGGAAAAATAAAATAATTAACTCACAAATAAATAACTGCGGCACGGTGGATGACTGGTTAGCAGTCCGTTTGGTGCAGAGGTGATGGGTTCAATTCCGGCTCAGGCCCTTCCTGTGTGGAGTTTGCATGTTCTCCCCGTACCTACGTGGGTTTTCAGCCACATTCCCAAAACATGCATGGCAGGTTACTGGAAGTGAAATTGTTGGCAACCAGTTCAGGGTGTATCCCGCCTATTGCCCGAAGACAGCTGGGATAGGCTCCAACACGCCCGCGACCCTCGTGAGGATAAGCTGATTCGAAAATGAATGGATAGATAAAGTAATGATGGCCATACTTTGCCCATCCCGACATGGATTTTAAAAATGTAAAAATATGACACAAATGATTACTCCTCCTCATTACTCCACAGTTATTTTTTTTTTTTTGTATGCAGCGATGGCTGTTTGAAAGTGCTCTATAAATACAGTTGAGTTGAGTTAAATTTGGACTGATCATCTTGCACTATTTGCCTACGAAAATGTCTATTTATTATTAATTATTATTATTATTATTATTATTATTTTGCATTTCACCGCGTTACGTAAATCGCTGATGGGGTAGTGCAGGGAACTCAGGTGTTGGTTTCAGGCTTCGACAGAACTTGCCGATGAGCTGATCGTTGAAATTAGGTTGTGTTGAAGTAGCGAGACAGATCGAAAGCAGGCCGGATATGGCTCTCGAGGAACCAGAGTTCCCTACCCCGAGTGTAGTGGTACACTCGCCTGACTTGTGAATGGGCAGCGATCAGTGACGGTAAGGTGGTGGGTGTGAATCCTTTCCGGGTGTCGTACACTTTTAACCCGAAGTTAACTGGGATAGGCTTCAGCATCCACCGCGACCCTATTCAGGATAAGCGGTGTTGAAAATGGATGGATGGATTGGTGACGTAAAAATTTAAATTCGATTTGACGTAGGGCTACTACAGGTATGATACCTGAGGTATCACAATCCCTAAAGGGGAAATGCACTTTAAACTCTGCATGACGTATATTGCACACCACAGAAACAGATCTCATGATGACACATTGCTGGAGGCGTGGCTTTGTTGGAGGCGCCTTGCCATTGGTTGAGAGTGTGGCTGCGTTGCGCTCATTGGTTGAAGGCACGCACTTCGGCCTCAACAAAGTGTGCTGACAGCCTTCATGTTGAGCACAAGAGTGAGGACTCAGCAGCCACAGCATCATCTTAAGTCAAATATAAATGAAAAATGAGGAGTTGTTGTTGTTTTTTTGCTGGGAGCCAAATGCCAAGGTTAGTTAATATATATATATATATATATATATATATTACAGTAAATCAATGGAAATGTAATAAATTGTGTTCATCATTACTGTTGTATTTTGCTTTGCAGAACACTTAAGACATTTTAACTTCACTGCAGACACTTCCAAGCAATGGTAAGTTTATTTTTCCTCTCGTTTTCCTGCATGCTGGCGACAGTGTTTTGATTTATCTGTAACATCTTACCAAAACACTGTGTTGCCCCCTCACTGGTTGGGCACTGTGTGCTAATCCCCACTCACCCACCAGGCCAGGGAAAACTAACAATTCTCGCTGAGAGTCCACATGTGGACAAATCAATTGTGTGTTGTATGAAGGCAGCCAAGGAGAACATTTTGCCATGGGAGCACAAAGTGGCAAATGGCGATGCTGCCCCACTGAGCATAAAGTTAGAGAAGGAGGAGAAGATGGAGAAGGAGGAGGAGAGGGGTCCCAAATGGTTCTGAACTCACAGCTGTGATAACATCATGTCATATGGAGTCTCCAAAGGCCAAACAGTGAAAGGCTGGACACATTTAACACACTTTTTCTTCCATTTAGCCATTATAAAAATGAAAAAAAAAATCACTGGCCGCAGTGGGGTACTGCAATTGGACTAAAAAGGCTGTTTCTAATTACTTCTCATGTAACTAAATGACCAAAAGAGCTATGGTGCATGTATGATGCATGCACCACAGCGATAAACGTAGTGTCAATCAAATGCCGGCGGAGCTGGGGATGTGATCAATGGACCACTGAGTGATGCTCCCGATAGGGACTGGTTTAAAACCCGAATTACTTTTATTATTCATCACTTGGGCGGCACTGTGGTCGACTGGTGTTAGAGTTTTGGGATTGTTGTGATTTATTGGTTTGTTTCGTGCTGATTGCATTTCTTCTTAACTTAGTATGGATATTGTGTAACCAATCCTGCATTAGGAGCAGCTTCTTTTTTTGCTCACTCGATGTTCCTTTGCTTTTGAATTTTTGACACAAGTCTCATAGTTTGGACTCAGCCCACTATTATGATTTAGAGAAGCCCACAAAGTGCCGTCTGTACAGAACCGCACGAGATGTCGTATAGAGAGGAAGTTTCATTTCATATTCTGCTCTTAGTAACCCAATGTTCTTGTGTTGAATCGTACATTTTGTATGTGTACCTCATAAAGTGTCCAGTTGGTGGATAGGATTATGGAAAAGTTCCCCTTCTGAGTGTACAGGGTCATCATTTCCATTTCGGTTAATGATATGATTCACGTGTGATGCTGCATCATGTCGATTTTGGTTTGACTTTGAATACGTTATTGTGAATCATAGTGTAAATCCTCAATGTTGCATTTGAACGGTCATACGTAGCAGACAACATCCTGTATGAGAGGATATGTCCTACTCAGCTGCATTTCAAAATTTCCTCTCCTGCCAGAGGAAGCAGGGAGCGTTCTCCCCATCTGAAATGTGCATCCTGCTCTCTGATTTTTTTTTTTGCGGATCACACCGCTTTGACGTGTTGATGGCCGCCCGAAGGTTTGTCAGGAATGTTTTTGCACGCTCACCGAGGCCGGTGATCTCAGCTGCTAAAAATCCCTCCGGCCCAGAAACAACACAAGGAAGCGTTCAGGTCTCTCCTCTCAAATGGGACGTGCTCGGAGGAGGGCTTCGTTGTTGTGTCCACTCCTTCATTTGGATTGTTTTTCTCTCTGTCTCTGTTTGGTTCACCAGCTGTGTAAGGGCGATTCCAGCGAGTGCTTCCAGAACCGCGCGCAACGCATGATGCCTTCCCTGCAGGACCTGAAGCAGCCGAGCAGGCCGAGGCCCCTCAGCGAACCGTGCGACCGCTCCTTTGCCGTGAAACGCCTCTGTAAGCAGAAGGCCCAGCAGGAGCGACTCTCGAACCAGCGCGTGTCCCAAGCCAGCGAGGCCAACACTTACGACTCGGCCTGCTGTCTAGCCAACCCGTTGGAGGAAGAAGGAGAAGAAGAATCCGACGGATGCTTGGCTCAAAGCCCGCCCACCAGTGAAAAGAGCCTGGACCTTGACTCTGGCTACTCGGAGGCCTCTTGGCATGATGAAGGTGTTGTTCTGAGAAGGACAAGAAATGTGCGCATTTCCTCTTCGGCTTGCCTCCGTACAAACATGGGACCGACAAGTCGGATCCGACCCAAATCCACCTCGGACGCTTGCTTGGAGCGCTGGACTTCCTTTGAGGCCAGCGACCCAGAGGACTGGACGACAGCCCTGCTGAGCAGAAGCAGGAACAGACAGCCTCTGGTTCTTGGGGACAACAGCTTTGCAGACCTAATTAAGAACTGGATGGACCTACCGGAGTGTCCAGAACCTGCAGAACTCAAGCCAAGTGCTGGTCGGCGTCTCGCCAAGGACATTCTGGTCAACATGAAGCGGCGACTGGCCGGGATGTCTAAAAGCGTAGAAACGAACCAGAAACCGGCAGAGTCCGCTCGAGGGAACAGGGCTGCCGAGGCTCCGAAACGATTGTCCTGCCCTGTGGGACACCAGTTGCTCAAACCTTTCTTCCACCAGTCGCACACGGGCTTGCATGCCATCGACTCGGACTTCTACCACTTCACCGCCACTTCACTCATGAAGACTGGCAGCCGACAGCCCATAATATGCAACGACATCATTGGCTACATTTGACTCTATACAATGGATTTTTTTTTTTTTGTCCAGAGTATCAACCCAAATAAAACTCCTTGATATTTAATTTTTTTTGTAAATAATCTGTAAACTGTTTCTTAATCCTTTCAAGCACAATTCTTTACCCTGTAGAAGCAATATGACTGGCATACAGTCCAGGGTAGCCTTTGCAGTATTTTTCCTTCTGTAATAGCACTGATTTCTTTCATGATGCTCTCGCGGCACTGTTGGTATCACCTTGCTACTTGGATGGCATCTGAGGATGACCAGAGGCTGTGATGTAAGAATCGACATGATCATGCTCACTCTTGTCTGTTTGTAGTATTTTGTCTCTGCAGAATAACATTTGCCAATACATTGCAATCATTCCCTTTTGAGGGAATTACACATTGCGGTATGCAGTGGAACTTCCAGAGTGAAACACAATTCATTCCAGTCGACCTGGAGTTTGTTCTCATTCCAAAATAAACAAAATAGTCAGAGAAGAAAAAACAAACTGTATGCATGACTCCTTTACTCATAAAATGATCATTATGAAACCTGCGCAATCAAAGATTCCAAGATAAAAACTCAAAGCACATCATGTCTGGATTCGATGGCAGTGAAATGCTCGGTGACACTGGACAAAAGTGGACCCCAATGTACTCTTCTTGCTGACTTCTCTCTTCTTCTTTTTCTGTTTTCAGGAGTTTCTGTCTTCTACCTTCTTTTACCTGTTTTCACGCAGAGTTATTGCCTCGATGCTAATTGAATCGAGGTAAGCCGATGTGTCGTGCATTTCAACTCATTTGACATGAACTTTATTTATACAGTACAAGTAAAAACAAGCAACATTAAAAAAAAAACGGTGAACTTACGTAACAAGAAAGTGACAACACTTAACGAATGCAGGCAATAAAAAGCTGCTTTATTTAAACAGCAAATTTCCTCTGCAAGGCAACACGAGAACCCTGAGACAAGCAAGGCTGAAGTAGGATGCGAAATGCAAATCGGAACAAGGATCACAAGTATCCACTGTACAAATAAAGTTACTCGTGGGTCACTGAGGTTTTATGAAAAGGAAAAACCAGAGCCATGCGAGGACACACAAAAAGCTCATCGTCCAGCTTTTTCATCCAAGTAGCTCACATGCTCCAAGAAGGTGTGTTGCATAAAACAGATGCGTCCAGATGGCAGAGTCCTTCCACCAGTCAAGGCTGCGCAGTGTTACAGTATCATCTGCCTTTACTCCTCCAACAGCGCCCTCGGCCTGTCCTCAATTAGGCCTTGAAAGCCCTCCAGCGGCAGTGGATCATCCAGTCCAGAGGCAAACGCCAGCATCTACTTCTTAACCTTCAATCTACTTCTTAATCTTCCGAGGCCTCACGCGACTCACGCAAATGTTGCCATACGGAGCTTGAAGTGTTATAAAAGGTCAATGGGGTTCAAATTCTGTTGCAAAAACAAACAAATCGTTCAGTTCAGTTTCCCCCCTATCATCGTGGGCCTGAAATACTGTTTTTTTTTTCCTTGATGATGAAATTAACTTGATCGAAAATATTTTGTGGTTGCTTTTAATTTACGGGCATTCTACTATTTGAAGTGCATTACGTTTTGAACAAAATCCTGCTAAAAAGTGCAAGATCTGTTGGTAATCATAACACATTATATAAAATGAAAACCAAAAAGTCTTTTTGACCCAGAGCAAACCGGGGCATTGTTTTAGAAATGCCCCCCCACCCCCCTCCAAAAAATAAAAAATAAAAAAATCAGAAAACTGAACAGGTAAAAATAATTCAGTCCTACACATTTCTTAGTCTTTGCATAAGATTTTGGCAGTTACCGTCAAACAAATAATTAAGTTCACTTTACATGGTCCGGCCCCCAAAGTCAGGAAGTGAGGGCCGAGCCATGCACAGGATGTGACTCGCTGGCAGGAGGGGGCATTTGTCATGTGGGCCTGCTGTGCACATGGTCAGCCCTTCAAACACAACAGCAGCTCCCCAGAGACGCTCGGCTTGACGGCGCACAAACCTGACATGCCGCTGCGCACCAAATGTAAGCTCGTTTTCCTTTCAGAGTGCAACTCTGAACCTGATTTGTGGTTTGGAAATCACAAACAAAACAACCGTGGTGAAACTCACATGCTGCCACACGCAGACACTTTTGGAACAGGGAGGAAAACAACTGCTTTATTCCTGAAACATAATGTGTTTTATTGACAGTGAGTGGGAATTATATCCGCTTGTCCATTTGCGTCACAACGGTGTCCCTGCATTGCCGTTAAATCGAGATACTCAAATGTGGGAGTGATTGCGTCCACTCAAGCAAGTAAAGGTTATTACAAAAGTGTCCAAAACATGAATTTTTTTATCGAAACACCAACATTGACTGCATGTTGACGTAGACATGGATTCCTTTCAAACAGTCCGGGGCATCCATCACCTGCAGAATTTCCAAATAATCGCCATCTTTAAACCCGTCTAAAACAAACAGTGGGAAACCTGAGAAGGAGCATTCTCAATCATCATGGCCCATCTATCGATGCTTGTTCAAGTGTGTGTGCGTCAACAGACTTGGAGGACAGAACACCTCATCCTACGAAAGCTGTTTACTATTTGTACCTGTGGCGGCAGAACCAAAAAAATCACCATCCACCTCTACCTCCTCCTCCGTCTCTTCATCATCATCATCATCCTCCTTAGACAAGACATTCCAACTATGTTTTCCCTCCTCATAAACCAAGAATTCTCTTGCAATTGGAATGCAAACACCACAAAGGTAGCGCAGTGAATGCAGCCACGGCATGTAAGAGCAAAACCTCTGCCGCTGGCCTGTGAACTCAAACGACGGCAGCTTCCGCAAACACACTTCAGCGACCTGGGCTGTCAAAGGTAAATAAGGCCTAAGAAGAAATGCTGTCAGGTTCGTTGGGCGTGTGAAGAAATTTCGGCAAAGATGGCCTGAAGAAACAGACGAACTGTGCATATATGTATTGGCAAAAATGTTACTTGAATAATTGGAAGGGAAAAAACATGAACTACAGGTATAGCAGAAACAGGAAAAAGGCATACGACATGGAAGGCATCATAAAGACATGACATAATTATTGAAAAAAAAGTCTGCTGGGTTTTTTTTTGTATATATATATATATATATATATATATTTCACCTCCCAGTGTCAGTTGACTTTTAGCTTGCACTATATAAGAACTGTCTAGAAGAAATTAAGGAATTAAGATTATCTAGCGAGACTGACAATGACTTAAGAGGTGTCTTTTAAGAGGACTGTACTGGTTGAATGTTGGGCCCGGGGGGTGCAAAATAGCCACTTCAAAACAATGGCTATTGTACTGTTATGTGCTGGAGGAAGGTGAGCTGGTTTCAGGGTGGCAAAACACGTAGAAAATATGCACTATTGATGCCAGCAGTGCGAGGATAGGACTAATCCTAACTGAGGTGGGGTGCAGAGATGGCTCTTCACCGGGGTGATAGCTCTGCCAGAAAACTGTGCAGCCCCGCTTGAGCCCCTCTTGCATTTTAGTTGATTTTCTACAATTTATTTTAAAGTGATTTTCTCAGCCCCCGTATATACTATTATATATTGGTAAAGCTGCGCTTCAGCCCCGGGAGAGAAAAAAAAAAATCCTGGAGCATTGCTTGGTGATGGTGGTGATGGGAGGCGGGTGCAGCCATTCCACTTTTGGAAAGGCTGGAAGACTTCCCAAAGTCTCTTCCTGCCGACCTCCCCGTCCGTCCCTCAACAAGGAAGTGGTGGTTAATGTGTGTTCGTTCCTGCAAGCTGCTGATAGACACAATGCATCAAGCACACGCGCGCGAAGAGTTGACGAATGAGACAAAGAGGGTGCGCGGGATATGACGATTTCACATCCATCATTCAAAAAGGCTGCAACAGCCCAGGAACCCGTCAAAGGTCAAAAAGGGTCTTCCATGGAGAGTAAATGTGCATCTACAGTAGATGAAACATCCTTTTTCAGTTTTATAGTCATCCTATACCGTCAACAATCAGAATGAGAATCATCAAATACTCAAGAGTGGGTAAGTGGGTACGAGTGATTTTTTTTTTTTTTTCGGCTGTCCTAACTCTTCATTGTACCGGTAGTTCGATTTTTTTTTTCCATTTTTGTGGCAGCACCAAACCAGACTGTGATGGATGAGCACAGCAACAATTCGATGACTGTTGTACAGAATTGCCTCAACGGTTTCTGTGTCAGTGTTCCCTCAGCAGCGGTAGGAAGTACATCCTCTGCTGAGTCTTTCCCAGGATGTTGGTCTCAACGCTACTGCAGTAGAATGGCACTATTTTTGATGATCAAGAAAGAGGATGATTGTTGAAGTGGAAGGCTTTGGCCAAATGAACCCTATTGAGCCGAAAAATATGTAAATACATAAATTCCTGCATTTAAGTGTAAAATTCACACTGTGACATATTTGTTTAAGCACCTTTCGAGATATCCTATCACTGATGTTACTTTCAGATTTTCAGTTTGAATGAAAGGTTTTCTTTCAAAATCCTGGAAGTCCAAAACTAAAAGGTTTTGGTGACTACGTATGAAGTTTGTCCAGATGGTTTTGCCGTACGCCCCCTGCAGATGGGTGCTCAGTGGCTCCTTGTCCAAATGCATGTTTGCATGGACAGTGACTGGGGACAATCACACTGTGCACCAAGGCGGCACATGAATAGGACTGCAAACCTTAGCAGATTAGAAAATAACAAGATGACTCCCACATTCTCCTGAAAATACATGTTCAAATCTCAATTTATGTGAACATGAGTATGGATGTTGTTTTCTCTTCTTGTTGCAGGAGTTGAACTGGAGACCAGTTCAGTGCCACTCCCCGATAGTCGGCTGGAATACACTCCAGCTCAAGCGTGACCCAAATGAGGACAAGCAGATGGATATTACACAAGTTAAAATCAACATCACCATGCAGACGCATGTAACATCGCATGGCTAGAAGCAAGTCAGACTTGCTTCCATGCAGAAAAAGAAAACATGTCAAAATATGACACTCGAGTGAGCTGTCCGTTTCACAAGAAGTGCACTCGGCTCCTCCGCGGACGAGTTTGGTCCAATTATGTCTGCTCTGGCAGCCAAGCATTTCGATCAGGGGTGGGCAAACGTTTGTGCTCAAGGACCACATCTGATGTTTAAGAAAACAGATAGGCCAAGTCATCTGTAGATGAGGTCATAATTAACAGCCGTATGATAAATGCTTATTATTTATACTGGTATATATATATATATATACATACATACACACACACACACACACACACACACACACACACACACACACACACACACACACACACACACACACACACTTTATTTTCAAGTTGCACGTGAGCTCACGGTTTTGGCGGGATGATGAAATCTAGGAGCTTTCTCTTCTTTTATCTTGCAAATCAAAATCTCATTGTTGTTTCACCCACTTTGTTTTGTATGTGCACATTTTCCACTGAATAGCTGAATCTATTTTTGTTCCCT